TCAACAATAAATGCTTTCTATCTATGTTACATACGGACATTTTCTCAGCGTTCAATTGCATCCAACACCTAATAACAATAATAACATTGGACATCTCAAAAGCGTATGGCACTTTCTGGAAAAAAAAGCACTAACAATAAAAATTATAAAATAACAATAAAAACTYACTCGTGAAAAATTAACGACAACCTCCTCAACTTTATGAAAAAATGTTCTAACAGACYGAGCATTTAATGTAAAAATCTACGATAAGATTTCATCTACTCACTCCATTGATAATCGACTCCCTCAAGGGTCTGTACTCTGTATCATATATTTTCTGGTAGCCATAAATGACATTTGCCAAAGCTCTCCCAATCTTGTAAAATGTATATTTGCTGTATATTGATAGATATAATAATTTATATTTCGCTGACGACTGTAACATCTACTGCAGTGGGTCACAAATTAAAACAACCACCCACATTTTTCCACAAGCACTTCCAATTCAGCTTCAGCTTTTCCCTCACAAAAACTCAATGCATTATCTTCAAAAAAAAAAAAATATATCCTAAACCAACAATAAACTTCATGAATACTCAACTTTCTTTTGAAAATAGTATCCGCATCGACGCATCCTGGTCTCACTTTCGACTACAAACTTACTTGGTGACCTCATCTGAAAAAGACTAAAAACCGAATGTCAATCGAGATTAAAGGCGATCAAAATACACAGAGAGAGCAACTGGGGATCTGACACAAAGTGTCTTATCACAATCTATAAAGTACTTAACTCCCATTGATTGACTATGGAGATTTCACATAAAATTCAGCAAAAAAAAGACCTAAATACTCTGGATCCTATCCACAATCAAGGCATTCGCTTGGCCATTGGATCCTTCTGGACGAGTCATGTAGACAGACAGTATACTCTTTTATGCAGAATAGCCCTTCATACACTTTGGACGCCATAATCACATTCTAAAATATGTGACTAAAATTAAAAATCTGACCCATCATATATTACCCTCCCGAAGTAGAATACTCGAAAACTTCAAAATAATCAGCGATAACTTAGATTTTCAATCACAATCTCTAAATGATATTTGGCCGCCCTTCCCTCCATGGCTTTGGCATAGGCGGAAATTAGGGGGGTACCCCCCCCCCCAAAAAAAAAAAAAAATTTCTTTTTGTCAGGTTACATGTGAAATTTGATTTTATTTGAATATAGTTTTTTTTTAGTTAATTTAGCCCTCCAGATAATTCTATGGATTTCCACATATGGGCTTTGGTCGCTAAAAACATGGTGTCGTGATATACTAACCTCAACCACCACATGTCATGAAGTTCCATCAATGGATGACCTCTTCACTCAAACCATCTGTCTGAATTGATTTAAATAATTTTAGTTTAATTTAACTAATAACTGTTTATTGATTTATCCTATATTATTTTGTCTTTTATATTTTAATTATTTAATCATTTGTGCTTATTGTAGATCARGGGTCAGCAAGTAATTTCTAATAGAATCCGGATGATTAAAATATTATATTGAATAAATGAGGTTTAAATGAAAAAATTTTGTCAAATCTTTATATTTTTATAATAGCTATATGAAGACAAAAAAAATTAAGACATGTTGACGGTCCAGTTTTCTGCCTCCCACGGCCAGGATTCGGACYGCAGTCCGCTAATCTCCGACCATTGTTGAAGATCATTACTTTACAAATTCTACAATTTTCTAATTCACTATGTACAATACTTTTAAACACAAATAAACAAATATAGGTTTAATAGTTTTGTATTGATACAAACATACAATTGATTGCCTTAACTTACWCCACAGCTTATGTGTAATAAAAAATTATTGTAGAGCGCACTCTTGACATAATATAGTGATTAGTTAAGTCATTATTTTAAAATATTGTAAGCTGCACAATCAC